GGCTCCGGCAATGCCCCCGAAGGGCTACGTCTATGCGGCGACGTGCCCGCCGCTGGCGAACGACGACGAGCAGCGCGCGCTGTGCCGGCGCAAGATGGGTGGCGGCTCGATCCCCGCGAGCTGGGCGCCACCGGCCCGCCCCGCACGCCGCTCATTGAAGAGGAGGAGGAGGAGGAGGCGCCGCGCGCGCGCCGGTGACCGAAATTTGTCTGTCTTGAGACGGGTGTGGGCCCTCGTGTGGTCGGTCCCTGGATGTAAGGGGCATAGCTATAGACTCCCCATAGTGTCCACAGTCAGTGCTGAGCTTGCCGGGCTTGTAGTGCGACTTTCAAAATTTACCATTTCCCCCACTACTGGAGCCGGCGCCAGAGAGCTGAGCATGAGGGACTTGACGTGTTGCGTCACTGTTCACGCAAAGACACAACCCCGGGCCCAAGACTCACACTGTTCACACTATAGAGAGGGTGAAAATTGCGTTTCCCATGACTGTAGACTGAGAAGAAAGTGAAAGAACGACCTCTCTCTAAAAAGTCGTATGATTTCTAAAATTTTCTTCGCGCCTGCGGCGCGGCAGATCAGAGAAATCGGGCCGGCCTCGTGCCAGCAGCCGATTTCTATTTCGGCCAGGGAAATCAGCCAAATTTCCAGCAGCCAATTTCTAAACACCGATTTCTAAGGCAAGAGCACGCACTGTATGACACCTTCACCCCAAACTTGTGTACGAGTTATTACGTGCACCCTACAGTCGTCTGTATATGACGACACAGTCAGATCACTCCAATCACTACCACACACCCTCACTTCATCCTCCCATCTCACACCATCCATCACACACCTATCACCTTTCCATCACCATCACCACCCCCCCACACCACCTCCTCACCGATCACATTGTTTAATATGAGGCCGAGGGCGGTGGGGGTGAGGGCGGTGGAGGCGAGGGCGGTGGAGGCAAGGGCGCCGGAGTGGTGTGTTTTTGTGGATGTCGGCGGTTGTGATTGATGGGGTTTTTAAAACGTAATATGGTGAACTTGTATGGTTTGGGCCCATGGATGTGAGGTTGATGACTGCTGGAGTGCAACCGCCACCAACGTGCGAGAGACTGTTCAATCACGAAGGCACGCCCACGCTCGGCCACGGCGGCCCGTAGAGGAAGATGTGCTGCTGCGTGCTCGCCTTGACCGACGTGTAGCCCAGCGGCCCGCCCGCCATGCGCACAAGCTCGCGCCCCGAGCCGGCGAACGCGTCCACGAGCGCGCCCTCGCGCCGCGCGTTGTAGCACAGGTACAGTGGCGCCGCGGCCGCGCCGAGCGTATTGAGCACCTCCCGCAGCCGCGCGAGCTCGAAGTTGCTGAACGGCGGGTCGCACAGCACGCAGTCGAAGGCGAAGTCGGCCGCGGTCTCCGGCTCTGGCCGCTCGAGGTCGAACGGCCGGAAGCCGCGTAGGAAGCCGAAGCGCTCGTCCCGG